GTGAAAAGGTATGAAGATTCCATTTGCATGTGCTTTCATGAAGCTCTTGGCATCAGACGACCAAACTAATTACGTCTCATATCTCCTTAATTTTTCTGAGCAAGATATAAAGCATGTAGTAGTATGTGGAAGTTTCCGTCTACCAACTTTCTGCAAAAAAAACTTTCCCAAAGAAATAACGAAAATAAGGTATGTATATGCCAGAAGTTATGAATGTATGGGAGCGGTTTTCTCACTATGGTTCTTGTATTTAGGAAACAAAATGATGGATACTGATTATATCGAACTTACTATTAAAGATGGTAACAATAAATTTGTAGTTGCTACTTCTCAGATTCGTGGTATCGATGGACTCAAAAACTTCATTGTAGGAGAAATTGGTACTGCTCGCTTTGATCTCTATAAAAATAGCGTACATCCAAAAAATCTTATGGATACGAAGAAGGCAATTCTTAATTATTTTGATCCCGAAAAAGATAATAATCTAACGGTCATTGTACACCCCACCACCCCCAAAACTCCCTCTAGCAAATAATTAGAAATTTTTATTCACATTATGTAAAGCTATATATTCGCAATTTTTTATGTATTAGTTGCTCCGGCAATGTTTTTTTTATTTCTTAAATAAAGCATATATTACGTTTCACAAATCGATCCACAATGAACTTCTAACCCATGATGTGACACAGTAGATTTTCCCTTTTCTTGGCAAATTTCATATAAATCTTTTTTAAATGAATATAACCAGGAGGAAGAAAAAAAGCATTTATTTTGCGTAATATGTCTCCGGCTATACTATTATCAAATTAATAAAACAATATTCAGGTATGGATATTTTTCTGGCGATCATCATGCACATGTTAATCCTTCATCATTTTTATTGATTAGCAAGGTAATAATGAATGACAAAATGCAGTGTGTAATTGCTAACGAGAATCTGGCAATATCTTTCTCCTGTACATATACCAGCGTTATATAAAACTGGCTAGTTGACGATAAGAGTTAAATCAACTGAATATGTCAGGCTTAGAATCAACCAAAGATCCTTCTTACCAAGTACCAGAGAGACTCCACTCATCTCTTACCATCTATAGAAATCTTGCCTATAATATCTTGATGTATCTCGAGTATGAAATGGTTAAGGATAAAGAAATTCCGGAACTAGAGCCGTGTTCTGAATGTACGAACAATATTCTGGGACTTCCTCTCAAAGCACTACCAATACTGTCATGTGGGCATCTGTTTCATAGAGTGTGTATCGAAAAGAATCTCATAATTACCAAGCCAGACGTGTGTCTATTCCCTGATTGTGGGATAAAAGTTGATATCATATATCCAGTCTTTACCTCTGCTAGGAGAGGTTCACAATCATCCCAATCAAGTGGAACTTCGGCCTTATCTAATTTGATGGGTGAAAAGTTTAACCTATTTTCATCAATACCAGAAGATCCGATGAAGGAAGTCGAGGATACCTGTCCAGCCAAAGATAGCAGTAAGAAACGAACTAATACATTCACCGAAGAGTTAACTAGTAAGAAAAAGAAGACATCTGATAAGGAAGGCGATTCCGCTATGTTGAAAAAGCTTGTTAAGGAGCTAAAGGATGATAGTAGCAATCAAGAATTGTCATTTCCCACCCAGTCACCCAAAGATAGTTATACTCATCTCTATAAAGAAATCGTTAAAGCCGAACTTCAAAATGATTCTGCTAGTCAAAGGGTTTTACTTTATTACTTCCAATTTGGAAAGAAGATATATGGACGCCTGGACTATTATAAGAATGAAAAAAAGTATTGTGATCGCATGGCCCAGAGTAAGTTAGATAAAGAAATTAAGGAGCAGTTGCCTGAGGGGGTTACTGATACTACTCGCTGGAAGCAAACAGAGAGAGCTTGAAAGGTATATAAGCTATTTCTCGAAATTGGCGTTAATAATATATAACGAGTTAAATCATATTCGGCACTAACAATTTTGAAGTTAAGTTGGGAAAAAATCGATTATATCATAGATAGCTTTAGAGAATAGTGAGACTATTATTGCGCCACATGATCACGTGACTTGCTGACCTCGTGGTCAGTAGGTTCATTTTATTTTTGTATGCCATCTAAAATAATAAAGTTCGCCTATATCAGGCCTTTCTTATTTCTTTATTCATGTGTATCCTGTAAATGCTGTATGAGTACTTATCAAATAAAATGATACATACAATCATGAGGGATTTGCAAACTAATCTACATGCGTATGAATATAAAATTACCCCTTTTTTCTTTACTATTCGCTCAGAAATTTCGTTTACCTTGGGTAAGGAAAAATCATGTGACAGAAATTTCTGTGACTAGCCGATCATCTCGTGATTGAGTTGCGAAAAGGTTGCAAGGAAGTGCTGGGAACTGATTGGGAGCCAGGCTAATCCCTGTTAATCACAAGAGATCTACACAGCTTGTATTAGATCATCTTATACTCCGAATTTTTTAGCGATTATCTCATGATTTTGATGACTAGCTAGCGTCGAAGAAGTGTTTGAGAACTGTCGTAGAACTGGTAAGGAGCTAGGATGATCCCTGTGATACAATATACGCCATAGATCTGAGAATAATTTAGCTATATTATCTCGGAACTAATTTAACTGAATTATGCCATCGGAAAATCCCTTACATGCATGTGAATATGCATATAGCCAGATGTAGACCTTATATAAACTGTCAATATGCTTGTAATCAAATAAAAAAAATGAATCTGATATTTTATTATAATATACTTCTACAAACTGCTATAATGATAAATAATCACAAATAACTCACTGAAATCACTACAAATTGATAATTGCTATAAACTATTAAATATGATAAGAACTCATATTAATAGAACAAGGCCTAATAAGTGTATTGACATTGTTTTAGATAAGGATTTTAATAAAATTGTGCCTAAGCCGATTAATAATTGTCCTGGATTTGATATAAATTATCTTAGATCATATGTAAAAAATTACAGTTCTTATTATGCTAATCAATTCAAAAAG